GTGCCAACACGCACCCTCTTTCAGCAGCACGATGTATTTTTTCCCTTCCTTCATCAAGTAAATGGAGGAAGAAGTACTCGTACATACCTCTCAGGTAGATTGCCTCAGGATTACCCAAACCGTAGCATTTAACCTTGAAAGCTCGAATATGATACAGCCTCAGAATCTCACTTTAGCTTTTCTCACAAGAAATCAAAACCGACAGCCTAAATGGAATGGAAATCGCCACTCAAAGATGTGAAAGGCTTTGAGATAAGATCATGAACCAGAACCTAAGTGAATCTCACACAAAGATAAAGGTTCCACACTTGTATCCTAAGAAAGAATCTCACATAACTTAGAAATAACAAGAACAAGCATAAAAGCTCTCAAGAGAAAATCTCACTTTTTTAATCAATACTCAAGTCTGTTTTTAAAATGAAATAAGAGGAGCTTTATAAATAGCTCTTGGAAAAAATCAAAGACATAAATGAAAGGCGGATTTCTAGGACAAATCATAATTAAGAGAAAATCAAATGGCTGGTCAAAAGGACTGATCTCAGGGGATTGCGATTTGCTTATTAAGGAGATGTTGACCACGACTTTAATACCTTTGATCCACATAATTATTAGCCGATAAGGAGGCTTAAGTGGTGGCCTTTGTTTGGGAACAGCAAGCTGAGTCAAACGAACCATGGGCTTGATGTCGTCTAGGTTCATCCGAGTACAAACATGGAAAGTATCGTCTACTTTAGGAGCAGCGGATTTGATGCCCGCATCATACCCTCCTCCTTGAAAAGGTTTTGTCCTCAAAACTTGCTCATGTGATATAAGGATGTACCTCGAATTTTTCTGGACCTCTTCTGATGGATCAAGCGGTTCAGGTTCTTTGTTTCCATGCTCAATTTGGGCCGCCTGTTGGACCAACTCCTCCAAACAATTGCATGAGTACCTTTGTATGTGGAAACGGATCTCATTGCTTAGCCCATAAACAAACTGGTCCATGACATCCTCATTCCTTACTCCTGGATTGAGCCGAATGTGAAGATGGTTGAATTGCTTGTGATACTCCATGACCGTCATATCATCTTGGCGAAGTGTGTGAAATTGCCTCCAGATTTCTTGATACTGATCGCGTGGGATGTATTGCTTCCTCATCAGATTTTTCATCTCATCCCAAGTTGTTTCTCGAGAGTACCGGCAATGATTTTTCTTTGCAGTAGATTGGCTCCACCAGTGTTGAGCTTGGTCGATGAGTTGATCAGCAGCAATGTATACCTTCTCGAAATCTGGACAGCGGCAAGAAACGAAGAACTTGTTCATCTTGTGCTCCCATTTAAAGTACTCATCTGGGCCTGATATTCCTGAAAAATAATAATCTTCTTGCTTCAAAAGACTCCAAGGATGGGCCGCCATGTTGCTGTTGCTGGACTGGTTTTCCATATCTTCTCTTTATACTTTTTTGTAGGAAAGAAAGTTTGAAAAACAAAACAGAAAAGTAGGAAAGAGTAAAACAATTTTCTGGTTTTTTTTTTTTGAGAATAGAATGACAAAAACAAAACAAAAGAAAAATAAAGATAGATAATAGGATCTTTTAGCTCTGATACCAAATGATACAGCCTCAGAATCTCACTTTAGCTTTTCTCACAAGAAATCAAAACCAACAGCCTAAATGGAATGGAGATCGCCACTCAAAGATGTGAAAGGCTTTGAGATAAGATCATGAACCAGAACCTAAGTGAATCTCACACAAAGATAAAGGTTCCACACTTGTATCCGAAGAAAGAATCTCACATAACTTAGAAATAACAAGAACAAGCATAAAAGCTCTCAAGAGAAAATCTCACTTTTTTAATCAATACTCAAGTCTGTTTTTAAAATGAAATAAGAGGAGCTTTATAAATAGCTCTTGGAAAAAATCAAAGACATAATGAAAGGCGGATTTCTAGGACAAATCATAATTAAGAGAAAATCAAATGGCTGGTCAAAAGGACTGATCTCAGGGGATTGCGATTTGCTTATTAAGGAGATGTTGACCACGACTTTAATACCTTTGATCCACATAATTATTAGCCGATAAGGAGGCTTAAGTGGTGGCCTTTGTTTGGGAACAGCAAGCTGAGTCAAACGAACCATGGGCTTGATGTCGTCTAGGTTCATCCGAGTACAAACATGGAAAGTATCGTCTACTTTAGGAGCAGCGGATTTGATGCCCGCATCATACCCTCCTCCTTGAAAAGGTTTTGTCCTCAAAACTTGCTCATGTGATATAAGGATGTACCTCGAATTTTTCTGGACCTCTTCTGATGGATCAAGCGGTTCAGGTTCTTTGTTTCCATGCTCAATTTGGGCCGCCTGTTGGACCAACTCCTCCAAACAATTGCATGAGTACCTTTGTATGTGGAAACGGATCTCATTGCTTAGCCCATAAACAAACTGGTCCATGACATCCTCATTCCTTACTCCTGGATTGAGCCGAATGTGAAGATGGTTGAATTGCTTGTGATACTCCATGACCGTCATATCATCTTGGCGAAGTGTGTGAAATTGCCTCCGGATTTCTTGATACTGATCGCGTGGGATGTATTGCTTCCTCATCAGATTTTTCATCTCATCCCAAGTTGTTTCTCGAGAGTACCGGCAATGATTTTTCTTTGCAGTAGATTGGCTCCACCAGTGTTGAGCTTGGTCGATGAGTTGATCAGCAGCAATGTATACCTTCTCGAAATCTGGACAGCGGCAAGAAACGAAGAACTTGTTCATCTTGTGCTCCCATTTAAAGTACTCATCTGGGCCTGATATTCCTGAAAAATAATAATCTTCTTGCTTCAAAAGACTCCAAGGATGGGCCGCCATGTTGCTGTTGCTGGACTGGTTTTCCATATCTTCTCTTTATACTTTTTTGTAGGAAAGAAAGTTTGAAAAACAAAACAGAAAAGTAGGAAAGAGTAAAACAATTTTCTGGTTTTTTTTTTTGAGAATAGAATGACAAAAACAAAACAAAAGAAAAATAAAGATAGATAATAGGATCTTTTAGCTCTGATACCAAATGATACAGCCTCAGAATCTCACTTTAGCTTTTCTCACAAGAAATCAAAACCAACAGCCTAAATGGAATGGAGATCGCCACTCAAAGATGTGAAAGGCTTTGAGATAAGATCATGAACCAGAACCTAAGTGAATCTCACACAAAGATAAAGGTTCCACACTTGTATCCGAAAAAAGAATCTCACATAACTTAGAAATAACAAGAACAAGCATAAAAGCTCTCAAGAGAAAATCTCACTTTTTTAATCAATACTCAAGTCTGTTTTTAAAATGAAATAAGAGGAGCTTTATAAATAGCTCTTGTACAAGATCAAAGACATAAATGAAAGGCGGATTTCTAGGACAAATCATAATTAAGAGAAAATCAAATGGCTGGTCAAAAGGACTGATCTCAGGGGATTGCGATTTGCTTATTAAGGAGATGTTGACCACGACTTTAATACCTTTGATCCACCTAATTATTAGCCGATAAGGAGGCTTAAGTAGTGGCCTTTGTTTGGGAACAGCAAGCTGCGTCAAACGAACCATGGGCTTGATGTCGTCTAGGTTCATCCGAGTACAAACATGGAAAGTATCGTCTACTTTAGGAGCAGCGGATTTGATGCCCGCATCAGAATAGCATTGACCTCGTTTGCCCAGTCATTGAAGAAAATGAGATCAGCCGATCTATAGAAGTGATCATGTCTTCCCACTTCATTGAACCCCGGAAAAGCAATCCTTGCACAACCAAAGTTCTGGATACCGGTCATTAATACTTTAGAGAGAATCTTATGAAGCATTGAAGGAGGGAGAGAAGTCAAGTTCACGTTTTCCATCTCTAACTCGAGTGTTTAACTGAGAATTCTGTCTAACTCTGATAAAAGAAAACGGTTAATGGTGAGAGAAATGAGAAATCACAAGTTTGTAGAAGTGATAAACCCTTAAAATTTAATGAACCACCGTGTCTATTTAAGTGTGATTTGATGGACTCCTCGAGAAGACACGACTTCTCTCACACGCCTTCTGAATATCTACACTCGCATCTCTTGGAACTGTAACTTTGTATAAGATATATAACAATATATAAAGTAAGTGAAACTAAGATATATAACTATATAAGTAAGTGAAAGTAATTGAGTTAGATTGTTATGAAACTAAGAAAAAATTCAAAATTTAGATTGCATAAATTTTTTGAAACTATGTAAAACGTAGGTATAGGATATATTAATTTAAAATGGTAATATTAAGGTTAAAGAAAAACCTGTAACTATGGAGTTGGGTGATTTGATGGACTACTCGAAAGAACACGACTTCTCTTATGAAAATTTCTAGTTTCGAAGTTTCTCTTATAATCATTACACTTGCATTTAAACGCCACAACACTACACCGTCATTAAGTAGTAGATCATCATAACCATTCCATTTAAACTCCACTTCGAACCCCGAGAAAGCATAACCACTCCAACTTATCTCACACGCTTTCTGACTGCAACAATCGCCTCTCCTGAAATTTAAGATATATAAATATGTAAACGTAAGTGAAACTCGGGGAGATCACGGGCTAGATTTATGAAACTAAGAAAAACGTAACAATTTAGATTGTATGAAAATTTGAAAATATACAAAACTTAATTAAATTTTTGATATTATATCGTTTTATTTTTCAAAAGATGGTCAGTTTCCAAAATGGATAATAGTTAGTGAATATATTTAGAGTTCAGATATTTAATGATATCAACTAGCAGTGTAGGAGATAATAAATGAAAAGGATAATATTAATTTTGAGAAAAAGCCTCGTCGAAAGAACACGACTTCTCTTGTGAAAAACGTCTCTTTTATACGCCACATCTCTTGGAATTCTCCATCTCTTGCATTTATAAGAATTCTGCATTTAAACACTCACCGTTACGAAATCTACTCTCTCATCTCTTCTCTAATCTCCTCTCTCATCTCTGCGAATACTCCATCTCTTCTCTCATCTCTCAACAAAGAAGATGGCAGAGTACAATAAGCTTTCCCAGGTTACTTTTAACCCCATGATCAAGGCTTGGCGTTTCAGAGTGCAACTAGACAGGATCTACCCTTACGCGATTACCAACCATGGGACTTACTATAAGTATATCCTTGCAGATGAAGATGTAAGTGTTATATCATCATCTCTCAAGTGTGTAATAAACATGTAACCGTGAGAAATAAAAACTTGATCCTTTTAACATGTAATAAACATGATCTTTGTACTTTATTTATGTAGGGATACAAGATGGAGATGACCACTGGTGGGGATTATCCAAATTTTAGAGGCCTTGAGAAGGAAGAGGGAAGATGGGTGGAAATCTTTGTGGTAGAAGTTGAACGGACCTACCCAGGTTTCCAGCCAACTAGCTCTCCGTTCAAAACTAAATGCTACGCGCTGTACGCAAGTCCGCATCATTGAACCTCTGAACAGTCGTCTTTTCTTGGACTTCAAAAGCATCCATGAAATCCCTCGCATGCACTGGCATGACCTCAGATATCCCATGGTATGTTGGTAATCTCAACAGTCGCATATCTTGGTTTCAGAACTTTGTATAACTCTATAGATGTAGGTGAAACTAAGTGAAACGAACTGATTTAGTTGAGTAACACTTATATGGTAGATACAATGGGAGTGGTCTTCAACACGGAAGCCTATCTCGATGCCCCTTTAGGACCAAGGATGGAGTTTTACATAAGGGACAACATGTGAGTATAAAGTAACATATGATCCAAGCAAAATTTATATATATATATAGATATATATATATATATATATATATATATATATATATATATATATATATATATATTGTAACTGACCCACTTTTTCTTTATTCTGAATAGTGACCATCAGATAAAATGTGAGGTGACCGGCAATCGGGCCTATGCCTTCCGGGATTGTCTTGATTACATGAGTGGTGGGGGTCGTAGACAGGTGATTGTGGCCCTTAAGATGTGGAGAGTCTGGAAATTTATCCGTAAGTGTTGTTTCTGTGACTAGTTGTAAATGTGATAGTTGAGTAGAACTTTTACTAAAATGACTTATACAAGTTATTTTGGTCCTTCTGAAATATGGCTTGAGACCGAAGGTGGATTTGCGGACTTCAGGTTCAATCCGCGTTTGCCCGAGGTTGAGGAATTCAAGCAGTCTCTACTAAACAGCGACCCTTATGTTCAGAAATACGGGGTTGAAGGTCTCGTGTAAATGTTTAATGTCGGATTCAACTTTGTTTAAATGCGATAAAACTATGTGTTAATGTTATATTTTCGATCTCTCTATTTTCCAACTTTATAGTTTCACTTAATCAATTGTTAAACTTTCTAAATTTAAGACAAAGTTGAATTTCGTTGGTTAACAGAAACTTAAGACAAAGTTCAATTGTTCAACTTTCTAAACTTAAGACAAACTTTATAGTTTCACTTAATGTTGACAGAAAAGTTTTCCACAAATCACTTATTGTACATCATAATTCCTAGAACTAAAACGGCTGTAAGAAGAACACAACCTCCAGATATCTTGGAACTCGTCATCGGACCTTCACTCCTTATTGTTGCTTTGAGAAGTTTAGCTTCTTCTTCGAGCATTCGAACTTGGCAATCCAACTGTTGTATAACATCGGTGAAAGCTTCATCAACCCATTTGAAAACGTGATTATCGTTCTAAAGCTACGACATGGATATTTTCAAAACGAGTAAGCATAATTCGTAAGCTTTCGAGAGTAAGTAAAAGATAAACGGATAATACCCTTAGTGAAGCTGCATAGAGATGAGCTCGGTGATTCCCACCCCGCACCAGCACTTAATAGGTATTCCCGGAGTTCGTACTCGTGTCCGACCACCGGTCGTGGAAGATGAAGCGGTGGACATCTCGATTACTCTGTGAGTTCGAGGAGAGGAATGAGAGAGAGAGAGAGAGAGAGAGAGAGAGATAGAGAGAGAGAGAGAGAGAGAGAGAGAGAGAGAGAGAATGATTTGAGAGAGAGAAAATGGAAGATAACAAATGGAGGAAAACCCAAAAAAATGTCTTTAATACTTCGATTAAACGATCTTGTGGTTTTAGAAAACTGGGAAGAAGGAAATTCGAAATTCGAAAAGCTGGGCGGGAAAATTTATCCTAGCGATTTTCGCAGTAAGTTTCACCAAGTTTTCAGTTTTAAGAAAAACATCAAAGTTGCACTTTTTAATTATTTCCATTTATCTTGGTTATACTCTACTTGAATCACTGATTTTTTGGTTACACCAATTAAATTATGTTTCCTAGATTCATTTCTCAGACGATCATATACACATAAACTTGATTTCGTGCCATACGAAGTTTTCAAATCTAACGAGGTCAGTTTTTGCCAAAAGGCTACAATAACACAATGTATTTCCTATATGACCAAGCAATTATATGTAATTTTAATATTTCTGATCAAATCATAATTAACGTAACATTAATAATAATAACCATATCATTACTTCAGTGACTTATTAAATTAACAAGTTGAGAGTTTACAAACGTATTACTCAGTTTTCCCATCGTAGTTATACTAGTAACGAAAACAATAAGTTTCACTTAGTTATACAATACACAGATACAAATTATTAGACCAACCAAAACGGTAACGAAAACAACAAGTTTCACTCGGTTTTCGTGTTTGGGTCAGGGAAAAAAAATCATTTTCGCACGAAAGAGAAAAAAAAAAGAAAGAGCTCTCGAGAGAAGGCGATTTGAGGCGATTGAAACAACAAATCGAACATGTAAGATTGTTTTCATTTCAATTTGGGTGTTGTTTTCCTTTAGTTTTACCGTTTGGTTTTGTGTTTTCAATGATTTCGGGAAATTTTGGTTTCAAATTAGGGTTTCAAAAATTGGGGATTTCAATCGATTTGTTGTTTCAATCGATTGGGGATAGTAAAACCGAACATGTATGATTTTTTCCATTTCGTTTCTTGTTTGCAAATGGCGAATCAGCATGAACCTCATTTCTTGAAGCCTCTGCTTCCTGGTTTCTACAGTGGTGTGGTATACACACGCTCTCTATTTCTCCTCTGTTTATGTCCTTTGCTTAACTCCTCCTTTGTTGACTTGTAGGCAATACCACTTGCCTTCTACTCAAAACACATAGAAGGAAAACCGAACCAAGGAAAATGGACACTACGATCGGATGCTTCACACAAAACTTTGGAAGTTATACAAGAAGGAAGAAGACTCACCGATGGTTGGAAAGCCTTCACCAAAGCACACTCCCTTCGCATCGGTGACATTGTCGTGTTCAAAAAGGAAAGAGACATGGTCTTTCATGTGACTCCTTTCGGTCCTAGTTTTACTGAGATTCAGTATACACCTCTTCAAGGGGATGATGCTGCGGATGGTGCTGCTTCTATCTCATTTGAATATTGTTTTGTTGCTGAGGTCACTCCGTCAAATCTCTCTGAAGACAAACTTGTGAGTAGTTTACTTTATGTGTCTGAATTTAAAATTTTCGTGAGGATACACTTGTGATCTGTTATGTGTCTTTACCTTCTTTGTTTGCAGCATCTTCCTGTGGAGCCTACGCGGTAGACTGCTCTGAACAATCGATGCCAAGAAGCAAAGCTGGTGAACAAAGAGGGGAAGTCATGGTCAGTCAGTTTGCGATTTAACGAAGCAGGCGGCATGTTTTACATCGGAAGAGGCTGGAGAAGGTTTTTGTGTTGATAACAGAAGCACCGTAGGAGACTTATTTGTCTTCAATGTGGTTGGAGATGGGGAAATTTCTCCATTGCTGTGTGTATGTCCGGAAAGGAAAGAGTGTACTGATTTACTAACCAACTACTTGAGCAGCAAGAATGGTGCCTCAACTTCCTCGTCTCTTCCTAAATGATGCATGTTTGTCTTGCTATTGTCTTATTGTATAATCTGCTTGTAGTGGACTTGTAATAGATGATCAACTCATCACTCTTAATCAACTCTTATATTTTATTATTTTTTTATTCTTAAGGACTCCTAATTGGATAACACCATTGGACTAAAAATTTAGATTAGAATTCTTAACTATTCAAAAAAAAAACTACTTAAATAATGCTAAGTATTCTTTTTAGAGGTACACCATTGTACATGGTCTTACCTATATGACCAAACAATAAGATGGAATTTTAATAATTCAGATTAACCATAATTAACATAACATTAACAATAAATAACCATCTTAGTACTTCAGTGACTTACTACTCAGTTTTTCCATTGTAGTTATACAAGTAAAGAAACCAAGTTTCACTTAGTTATACAACACACAAATACAAATTGATTCCCTCACAACGTTCCCATAAGATAAAAACACCAAAAAAAAACTGCAACCGAAAGGCTTACAACCTACTCTTCCTCTGTTTCTTGTGGGGATGTTCATCGTGTTCCAAACCAGTGCCCACATTCTCTTCTTCTCCATATCCACTCCCACGCTCACAATAGTTCCTACTACAAGAGCTCTCTACGACTGTTGATAGTTGCTCGGTTATTTGAACTATTTGCAATTCTTCAATGTCCTTCACATGCAAAATACTTCTTCTTTGCTCTCTATCCACTGATGTTAGATAAACAAACACATCTTCATCATCCAAAATATATGATTGCCTCTTAGGTTCCACTACCCATGGGATGTAACCCAAACTGAGCCTCTTCATAAACGGATCTATTCCCATCTTCCTGCATATCTTCTCCTTCAACATCGAATAAGTGATCTCCTGCAACGATGATGTCTTAAAGGACATAGCATACAAACGACCATCGGTTGGAATCCATTCATAATCATCTCCATCCTTCGAATAATGTCCATCATAATCAAAGTGTATGTTTGTCGAAAAAGGACTCATTGTCTGCAATATAAAAAAAATTAAACCCCTAAAGTTATACTTGGTTATACAGTTATACCATCAAAGTTATACTTCGTTACACCATGTTACACAGTTGTGTCAGTAGTCAATTAGTAATCGGCCAACGTCTAATCTTCTTTGATTGAATCGTCCTTTCATTCCTGACATTCAATCATATAGTTGTTGATTATTTGTTGATTATTCAATTGAGTAATAAACAGACCATCCACACTTTCATTCCTTTCTGATCTTCGATTAGTGAATAAGAAATTTCCAGTTACAATGAGTCGAGTATTTTAAACAGCTTTGATTCCCGACATTCAATTATACAGTTGTTGATTATCGAATTCCTTAATAAGTAGACCATTCAAACTTTCCGATCTTCCTCGATAAGTTCATGCACAAATACGAAATCTTCTATCTATTCGAAATCCCTGTGACGATTTGAGATACATACCCTGTTACACGGAATCAAAAGCGACGAGACCGCAATAACATGCAAGGAAGAACAAGGGAATGTTCTTAGAAGACTGGACTCGACTAATACTCCAGAAGAAGAACTCCTCGACGACGGCTCGATGAATATCGATCAATTTAGAATAATTTGGAGAGAGATAATTTTGAATTATTCATCAAACAATTCATTAAATCGGTCATGGGCATTTTCGACATTAACCACCACCGTTGAGAGTATCAGAATAAATAAGAGTACTCCAGATTTTGTGAGAGTATGTTAGATCACTTTTTGCTTCATTAAGAGCATCTGAGGTTTTCTCTCTCTAATTGATTGAGAGAACTTTGTTTTTCCTTTTTATTTCTTTTGTCTTGTATTCTCATTATTTTATGATTTTTTTTTTATATTTTAAGCAACTTTTATTAATTTTTTTATATTTTGTGGTTTATAATTCAGATTATAAGTTTTAAGATTTGAGATTATTGTTTCAAAATTTTGAGATTATTGTTATGATAAGATTTGACATTATTGTTTGAAAATAATAATTTGATAGTTTGAATTAAGATTTGGATGTGAAGTTTAGGGTTTGAAGTGTAATATTAAGGGTTAGCCTTAAGTATTTGATTAACAAATTAATGTTTGTATATTGGATGTGAAAAAATAAAATTTTAGCTTAGAATTTAAAGTTTGAAACATGATATAAGGTTTGGGATTAAGTTTTGTGGTTTAGGGTTTTAAACTCATCAAACTCCATATAATAATACCACACTAAATATATAAACCTCTAAAGAATTATATATACATATATATTTTTCTTATAACAAAAATTTAATCTAAATTTAGTATTTGGATTTAAAATGTTCATTTTGAAATTTTAATAAGTGTTGGATATTAGAGTTTAGGGCATGTTTAATATA